TAGACGAAAAAAAATTAAATTTTTTTTTGTAAAGTGTCCATCCTAGACATAATTTCTAGCTCCGCCCCTGCCTTATCTCCCCGGCGCCTCACATACATTGAATTTGACTTATTGAACTGAATATGAGTTTTTTATATTTCTTATTTGTGTGTCAGATCATTTTCAAGTTCGTATTGAGTTATTGCTATAAATCTCGATTTTTTATGACTTTTGTACAAACCATCAGACAAGATCTTATTAAACAATGACTTAAATCCCCGTTTGGTTGCCTAGAAAACTGTTGAGAATGGAAGAAACAAAAAAATGCCTACCACTTTCAAGCAAAGGGTGTGTGAGGAAGATAAAGAAGCAAAATTTTGGTGGACTTGCTGTTCGATGTGTGTTGCTGGAGGCTAGACTGGCTCGCTACGGCATCCTGTGGGTGGAGGCTGGATTGGGTCGTTGGAGTCGCTGTTGCCTTCTGGGGGTAGAGGCTGGAGTTTGGACTGGACACTAGAGTCGTTGGTGGGAACAGCCATTGATCTGGTCTGGTTCGTCTGGAGCGATTTAAGGCAAAACAAAAGGGCAAAAACACAAAATGCCTAAAAAGTACAAAAAAATCTGAGATGTATACCAATTTAATTAAACTACCCGGTTTGGTTCAACTCATTTGGTTTGCACGAGTTCACCGATTTTTTACCGGTTCAACGATTTGATTTCGATTTTCTTGCACAAACAGTATTTTGCTCGAACTGGCCCGGTTTGAGCACCGATTCACCGGATCAACCCGCGGGGCCGGGCCGAGTTTTAAAACACTGGTTTGAAGTGGAGCCACTAAATTCTGTCCATCCTCACGCACTATATTCGCTGGTGGTACGATGATTTGTGAATTCAACTTGCTGACGACGATTTCAGCAAGTTGCGCCATAATTTGTTGTTGACCAGCAATAAGAGAGCCTACCTCGTTCTCCAAACTCTCCACTCTTTGATCCATGCCCTTTCTCTGATACCACAATAGTACGTACTGGGGAGTACCCTGCCCTTGTTTCTTGGGACCTATTGTAAACTAGGATAAAAAAGAAGCAATACAATAGTTTGGGTTGACTGAGGAACCTTGACCTCCAGTTAACACAAGTGTTTGGAAATAAATGATAACTAATCATATTATTCATGACTAGCCAAACTTGTATAGGCAACAGCCTCAACGTTCACAACCATGAAATTAGGGAAAGAAGTTATACTCACTACTTCTCTTAAAACCAGGGAAAACTCAACTACTAACAACTATCACTAAAAATTAGGATTACTTTTGGCATGGATAACAACTTAAGCAGGAGCATTATTTGAAAGGAAATAAATAAAAAAAACAATAAAAACAATCACGTAACAACAAACAACTAATATTACCTTGGAGCAACTCAGGTCATTGAGTACTAATGCCTAAATATGGCAATAGGAAGCAACCAGAACACATCATAAGTAAAAAATTCCGCTGTTAGCAGTTCCCCTCATTTCATGTCATTCTAAATTTAAGGTTTAGGAAATTCGAAGAATCACAAGAGCATCCGTAAAAACAAAAACATGACCGAAAACAGAGCTATGACCAGAGAAGATGACATAGACATTAGATATCAGTTACCATGACAAATCAGTAGATTATGTACAATAGATAATATCGTTATTTCAAAACATGCCTGTATTGAAGACACTACCATTTTTCAGGTTATTTGCTTCGTAATCCCCTCTGCTTCTAATTAGCTCAACCTCAATTGTCTGTTCCCATAATCCTTGCATATCAAATATGTTTTGATCAAACCACATAGCATTGTAGACACAAATAATCCTTGTCCAACATTATATAATTAAGAACAAAATTATATAATTAATCACATAGCATTGTTTTTAGAAAATACAAGAAAATGTGCAACTGAATTACCTATGTCGGACATATTTTTTCGAACAGCTAAAATAAAATTAATCACTCATTTATAGTATGAATTTTATTATAAGATTGGAAGACTTTTTTTAAATTTTGTATCTTTATTTTTCAACTAATAAGAATACATCATGTACAAAATTATGTTATTTTTTATTTTTTTATAATTTTAATATTTGTTAATTAATATTTATAAAATAATTCAATTTAAAAAATGGCAGTGAGTGGAGTAAAGATAATCTAAATATAAAATAGCAGTAAATCAAGTTGTACTATCTGAAGTGATCTGAATCAAACAATAGGGACCACGTGATCAGTTTGGCCTTCAATCAACTCAAGTGGACGTTCGAACGTGGTACTCAAGTACCTCAGGGTCCTGGTGCTTGACTACAACACACTGTCTTAACAGGCTGGTTTTGTCATGGTTCCAGTGGACGTTTGAACGTTGATCCACGTTCGAACGTTCTTACTTTGTGCCAATCTTTTCCAATTTTTCCCCTTAATCCATTGGTGTTACATCCAAGTGTGATATTTGTTGTCCTTGAGCTCTTGATCACTTTAGAACCTGAAATGTCATTACTTAAACTTCATCAAAGCACAATTAGTCCCAAAAAGGCATAGTAAAGTGCTAACTTTAAGCATTAATCACCTTCCACTATAAATACTTAAGGACACCTCCTTTAGCCCCATTTCAACATCTCTAACCCTAGAAAACCTTATAGAGGAAGAAAGGAAGAGAAAAAAACTCAAGATTGAGATGGATTTACACTTCAAAGAAGATCAATACGACAAGTTTTTTAAGAACACCCTTCTCCACCCATTGTCCTCTATTCTTTCACTTCACTCTCACTCAAACCTCTTAGAACCCTGGGAGAAGATAAGAAGGGAACAAGAAAAGGGAGGAAAAGAGTCGCTAGATCTTGGGTTAGCTTGAAAATTTGGATTCAAGGTAGGAGTTTCTTCCTATTCTGTTACATTGAGGCTAGGACTTATATATATATATATGTGTGTGTGCTTTTTAACTCTAAGTCATACATGTATGCTATAAAATCTTTGATTTTTTCTATTCTTGCAATTAGTACCATGTTTTAAACAATGTTATGGTTGGGTAGCCGGTTCCCATGGCTATGCACGTGCATATCTGTACAAGGAATATTCCCTGCCCCACACAGATTTTTGAAAGAAAAGTAGTTGTATTTTTCCAAGAAGAGCAATTTTCAACTACCTTACTGAAAATGGTAAACAACAACTTTGTCCTTTTCTTCCTTTTAACTCCGCCGCCTAATTGTAGACACTGGTCATACTTGTAATGGCAAACGTTGTAATTTAATAACACTTTTGCACCTTACAATATCTTTAAAATTTTAACTTATACACTTGTAAAAGGATTCGCCCCGAAACCAAGGGTACTAACTAACAACTGAGTCCTCTTTGAACCGCAGGAGATATTTGCACATCATACAGCTCACCAACTTCACTTGTTTCTATGGGGGGCTTGCTCCGACAAGTTCAAATCAATTACAATATATTAAAGTAATTTTATATATTACACCTGCAATTATATAAAAATATAATAATATAATCCAAAACTAATAGTTTATTCGATAGAAGGAATCAAAAATAAGAGCAATGAAATAATTAGGAGAAATAGATGATTCATTCATCGAACTTCAAATTCCTACTATCATAACCATCCCTGGTGAAAGCATTTGCCTAGCGGCAAATAAGAAACTTTAGGCAAACATTACAACTGTCCTTTTCTATACAATTGCAGACTTGATGCTTTTTGAGTCTGATGTCTTTTTCAAACTCTTTATAATGATTTTTGATTTTTTTTTAACTTTAACTATTAGTTCAAGTGATAAACAATTTTTGACCCTTTATCAAAAAATGGGTCCAAACAAATCTGACTCAAAATACACTTGTAGCTGCATGAATCCGACACAATAAATATAAATATATTTAGACCTAACGACTCTAGATACGATATGTGCATCGGATAGAAAATTAAAACAAAGTTAGCTAGTTTGAATATAATATTAATGAGTTTGGTTAGTGAATGGATGGACGCACTATACGTGTCAAAAAATAGATCGAAACAAATCCGACTCAAAATAGATTTATAGCGGCATGAATCTGACACAAACACGAACCCGACAAATGACAATAGATGGTTGCAAGACAGTGGTTTAATAAGTTCGTTCCAGAAGGTTTTGTTCTCATTTTGTTGCATGGGTTTTTGACAAAACAAAAAATCAACAGAACAACAAACACCCTAAATCAATGGTCTGTATCTCTGACAGTTCACAAAGAAATGTGTACCTGATACAATGCATATGACTTCTAATATGGATATGTCATTTTAAAACTCAGGCCCTACCAGATATGCCTTTATACTCAGGCCCTACCACTAATGCCTTTATATCACTAGTGCTTTTGGAATTCCCAGACCCTTATATCTTGCATACCAAATATCCTTCTGGTATAGAAATGCTTACCTAAATCCCGGGCATGAAGAAAATATTTAATATAACCCCGGTACCACATCATTATTACACGTGCTGTCACCGACTCACCAAACCAACCAATCATAAACAAGCAAATACGGCTCGGGAACCCCAGTTAATTCAATAACCACCAATAACTCTTGGAGATTGGGAAGGACTTCTATGTTTGGTTTTTTACAAATAAATTATTTTTATTACTGAAAAAAATAATGCATTCAGTTCAAAACACACCCTAAAGAGCATACAGAGCAACCTCAAAGAAAATTGCTCAAACTCAACCTAGGCCACTGAAATAGTATCACTTTCACAACCCAAGATACTGATGCACCATATCCAAACCACTTTTGAATAGGGTATTAAGAAGTATATTTTTTGATATCATACTTCTTTTTTTTTTTTTTTAGTTCAACTACAATATTAAAAGTGTAAAACTCTATTATTTAATTATTTTGGCTTATTTTATTAGTTTGAAGACCATTAACTATAAATAACTTAAACTAAAACCCACCACCATAGCCATATCAAAATTGTTGTGCACCTCCATTAGAGCAGTAATACCAGTTGTCTTGGAAACTTGAATGGGCAGTCAACTTGAGCCAATAATAAACCATAACTTTTTGACTTCTATGATCATGCAATACCTAAATTGTCAATGGATTTTGTACGTTTGTGCTAGGCTGCTTTCTTTTACCAGGGATGCATGTTACTTTATGAGCATGCATGTATGGTGGATGTTAAAATGCTTCAAACTCCATATATCAACTACTCTGCGACAATGTTTTGTTAGATTTTAACATTTAGCTTCTACAACCTGTACTTAGTGAAAGACAGAAGGATCTGAATTTCAACCTGTACTTAGTGATATAAATATATGTATGTGTGTGTGTGTGTGTGGTCATCCGGTAATATCTCTAGAATGTTCAGAACNTATGAGAGGATTAGCTGTTAGATAAAGACATTGTATGGCTGCTATCATCAGTGAGTTTTTTTCTTTTGCTTTTCTTTTTTTGAGGGTTGGTTTCACTTATTTGTTTCAACTATGTTCAATCAAAGTAGATATTTTTATCTTGGAGTGACAATGATGTCATAAATGACGTCAGAAAGATCACGTGAGCCAAACTAATCATTTATCGACTATTATAAGTAGCACTCAAATGCAAAACCATCGAGTAATTAAAGCAAAACAAGAAGTACAGCAACTCTCTGTTTCTCCCAGAGAACCTCACTTCACTGCTTTACTAGTAAGATACTTCTCTCTCTCTTTTTATCTATCTATCTATCTATCGATTGATGGATCTCTCACTTACTCACACACACACAACCGAAATGAAATCCATGAGAGAACCGGACTTCATTTCTATTCGTGCATTTATCTTTTTCCTCATATTCGCAAATTAATTCTAATTCATCTTCTTTTCTTCAGGTTTGAGAAATTGGGGAGAAATGGATCCAGCACTTCTGTGCTTTACAAAAGAATCTCTCACGAGATCGGATGTGCAGCGTAACTTAGAGATACCAAACAGTGCGTCTTTGCTGCCACCCAGGAATGGGGTCATGGTTGTACGTGACCAAGCCGGAAACGANTGCTTTACAAAAGAATCTCTCACGAGATCAGATGTGCAGCGTAACTTAGAGATACCTAACGCTGCGTCTTTCTTGCAACCCGAGAATGAGATCATGTTTGTACGTGACCAAGCTGGAACCACGTATCAGTTTATAGCATCAGAGAGGAAAGGAGGGCGAAAGGCTCTGACGCGCGACTGGCATGACTTCGCCGTGGCAAAGAATCTTCAAGTTGGTGACTCTCTGAGAATTTATTGGTCCGGGAATGAGAATGAATATGTGGTGCAGTTAGGCACCAAACTCTTTGGAGATCACATAGTTTGGCTACAAGAATAAGTTCCACTGCATGAAATTATTTTTATGGGTCTGTGCATGTAAGGTGAGGTTCTCTCGAATATATACATATTTTTTTTCTATTTCTTACTTAGTAAATTATTTATCGTTCATGTAAGTAAGACTCATTATNTCTTTCTTTCTTTTTTAAATTTTTTTTGTTTGGGTGTCATGTTTGATGTGGATAAGGTAATGCCGGCTCCTAGTTGCTGTCTGTGTGAAGTCAATGTAATATATATTTATATTTATTAAAGTGTGTCATTTAGCCGACATTTCTCCTCTTTGTCAAAACAAGTCGGAATGAAAATAGAAATTCATCATGGTTGCAGTTACATTTAACAAGGGCAATGAAGCATTATTGAATCAAGCTTGATTTTATTTATTTTCATACCGATGCAGCAAAAAAAAAAAAAGACTGGCTAGAATGAGGGTGCCTTCACATCTAGTCAAAAGAATCGAATTTCATCCGATTTCAATTCGAATAACTTAATTAAAATTTTATTTTCACTCAATTTTATATCATATTTGACATACACATGAAATTCTAAGTGGATCAAATATTGAAATGTCTAATTATAAATTCGTAAAATATAGTGTAACAAATTTTAAATTGAATTCAAGTAATCAATTGAAAATATCATTTCATTTCTTACTGATCATATTCAGAATCTAAGTAGATTTGGGCAAAAATTCAATCAATTAATAGACATATACACATTCATTTCAAGTGATAAGAATAAGGGAAGCTGAGGCAGGCATGACAATGATATCGAGTGATATTAAGATTTGGTCAAATTGACAACGGTTCTTTGTCGGGGTTTGGTTAAGTGAGAGAATTGACATATAACTATAAATAAGGGATTTTCAAGTGCAAAATTGAAATCGGATATTCAATCGTGAGGGATTCTCATAGTCATATTCAGGTGTTTATTACTTATAGGTCGTCTCTCTTTCCTTGTTACCTAACTTAAAAAAAAATTTATAAAATTGAAAGTAATATTGTAATTGGTTATATCTTCCGAAACTCGTTCGTTTCGATATCTAATATATATTCAACACTATTATTTTAATTTAATTTATTGATCTAATTCACTTAAATAACATTAACTATATAAACAGAAAACTGAAAACAAGAAACTTCGTTTTAAGAAGAAATCCCAATTGCATTGAGGAAGGACTTTTCTTTATTGCAATCATCAAGCATGAACTTGAATTTTTTAATCATCAAGGACTTTGCTTTAGTGATGTGAAATATACTTGAGGCTTTGTGGCTTCTTTAATCACCGACCACCCCAACCTAACCCACACATACACATATCATCTGTTATCTTATTATTTTTAGTTGTGTACGTGGCATATCACTATAGGCAATTTGCCTATTTGCCATTATGAAAAGGCAAAAGATTCCACAATCTAGACTAAAATTGAATGCATTGAAAGTAGACTAATCGAACAAAAGCTCAAGACACAGCCGTATGATGAGGTGGTTCCTTGAGAAAAGATTGGCAATCTACTGGAGCTTTGAGAAAAAAGCTCAAGACCGATTATTATATTATTTTATTATAAAAAATATTATATAACTCAAATTTGTAATTTAAATTTGTATCTCAAATGAAGGAAAATTATTGAATGAGTGGGTCTCATCAATTTTTTTAAATGAAACTCATTGATCCAATAATCCCCTTTATTTAAAATATATATTTGAATTACATAACATTACTTGTTTGGTATTCGCCGGATATTGTGTGTTTGTGTTTGGATGCTTTATTTTATGAGGCATGCAAGCATGTGACTTTATGAGCATCAGAGCATGCATGCATGGTGAGTGGACGTTAAAAATGCCTCACACGGCAAACATCAACTACTCTGCCAAAATCTTTTGGTGGGTTCTTGAATTAATTTCCTTCCGGAACCTCCACTCTACATTCCAGGAATGAATCTGCAATTCAAGTTAGAAACAGTGATCAGCAGTCTGTATCTCAGTAGAAGAAGATGAAAGAAGCTTTGCTATTCTCACGTGCGGGTGATAGACAACATGCCACCCACCCACGACATCTATTGGAGTGCTAAAACCTAAGAAAAAATACGCGATAATAGAACATAATCGTCAACATAATTGTTTGGTTTGATCAAAAAAAAAAAAAAACAACTGTTTGGATTAAATTCTTTGTGGAGACAAACAATATTATACTACTAATGAATAACAAAATAATATAATAATTAATTCAATAAGTACTACTAATGACCACATGCAATAATTACGATAATGCATTACGACAATATATGTAGTGTTTTACTATTAAAGGTTATATCAGTTGTAAATGAAAACACAATATCACCATTAATATTTATTGAAAACAATATTGAGCAAATGACGTCAAAATTCCCAAGGTGGATGGCATCACTTTGTTTTTGCTCTTCTTTGACTGAACATTGGTTGGCAGACATCAAGATCATTCTGTATGAGTGGTGACCCACGTAGTATATACATATATGGAAAGTAATCTGAAATATAAGGCACAAATATTATTTAACTCTTTGGCCGTACAATTATTACAGTGACTATGAGAGGATAGAGGATTAGCTGTTAATAGGGAGATATTGTATATTTGGCTATTATCACTGGAAGCTCAATTACGGCACCACTCTGCTTTTCCACTAGATGTATAACGTGGCCAAGTGATGTTGAAATGATTTTATTTGGATTAGGTTGTGGTTGTTTTTGTTTTTTTGTTTTTTTTTTTTTTTTGGGGCGGGGGTGTGTGGTAAAATAAAATGATTTTATTTGAATAAATGTCTTCATGAATGCAGAGTTTTCTACCTTGGGTGGGGTGCATAATATAACTTCAAAAGACCACGTGATCCAAACGATCCTTTTGTCTTTTAGTTGATCGACTAAAATAAATTGTACAGTAATGTTACCTTAATTAAATTTTATGATCAAATTAAGAACTTAAATGACCTAACGTTTGAGTTAGATTTTTTTATTTAGTATCATGTTATTTAGGCTTCAATAAAAACTCTAAATTATATGATATCATGTCATTTAAACTCTTAATTTCATTACAAAATATGATCCGTGTAATATTATTATAAATTGCATTCAAATGTGAACCCATGGAGTATCCTAAATTCTTAGCTCAGAGGTGACTCTCTCTTTCTCCCAGAGAACGAGACCTCAGTATTATTATATTCCCCCTTACTCCAAGGGCGGACCAGGGGCACGTGTCCACCCTCAATTTTTTTTTTGAAATATTATTTATGTATATTTTAAATAATTTGAAGTATATTTAAGCGTACTCACTCTATTATTTTTTGTTCTATTTATTAGTATAGTTTCTGTACCTAAATAATTATGAATTTTTTGACACACTTTGGACACTTTAGGGATACATCCATATAAGTTTTTGATATGTCGAGGTCATTTTTTTTAAGCCATAGAAATTCCAATTAAAAAAAAAACTATAGAGATTATGGAAACTAAATTGCTTAATTAAATGAATGATCAATGACTAATAGTTTGATCATATATATAGAGAAATATTATAGTACTAGTCATTGTCCGTGCATAAAGACACTATATTACTTATAAAATTTTAACACACAAAGATAGAATGTTTGAATAATTTCAACACATAGCGATTAGATTGGTTTTGAACATTTTTTGTTGGTGCAATTGATATCTTATTTTTTTGTATTGATCACTTATTTTTTTTAATTTCTAATTAACTTGGCCTTTGAATTTTTTTTAATTTTATGAGAATTATAGGTTTTCATACAATAGTGATTTATTTTTGGTATGAATAATAACTTGATGATTTTATTTATGGATTATAAAGACAATTTAAACTTCATTGATTGATAAAAAGTAAAAAGTAAACCTCAACCATCAGTACTAAGATACGTGATAAAAAAATCTACTTACAGCGTACTCTAGGTATGAATTAATTTGTAATAAAGAATATGAAAAATTATATAGTAAGAATATAATGGTTTTTATGAAATATTATACCAAATGTTTTGAAAAAATTGATATAATAAATAACTTACATGTCCAAAAATGGTGATATTGTCCATTTAAGTACTGATTTTTGTGTTGCAGTGACGGTGTGTATGCGGTTATTGGGGTCAAATGTTAAATTGTCAAATTTTCAAATAGAAGCACTAAACTTAGAGATATTATGTATTTTATGTGTGTTTAATAGAAATATTTTTAATTTTATGCAAAATTTTGTCGTAAAATTAGAAATTAAACAAAACCAACCTGAATCAAGGTACAAACAATTAACATATAACATTTAGATCATTTAATTTAAAATGAATTTAATCTGAATTGTTATTGTACTTTTTCAAATTTAAAATAAAGACGTATGAGAGATAGGAGTGTAGAGTCTTACGATAAGAGGCTTTTTCATGGGTGGGAAAATAAATTCATGACTAACTGTATACCGTTAGATCAAAATTTTTGAGATGATCTAAATCGTCTTTTATGTTGGAATTACGTTGTCCGTTGGATGTGTTTATATTTTGTCACAAAAACAATCTAAACCTCTCTTTATCTTTTGGATTCAAACTTCGTTCTACTTTATTATATAGATCTTTTATGCAGTTTGCTTGATTTGTTATGAAGAAATATAATTAACCTTTCTTTTTTGTTTGTTTTTATTTTTGTATGTTATATTTATCAAAGTTTCACCATTTTCGTATTTTATGAATTTTTAAGTATCAAATACAATATAGTAAATTTAAATATTTTATTTTATTTTTATTGATTAGACGAAAAAAAATTAAATTTTTTTTTGTAAAGTGTCCATCCTAGACATAATTTCTAGCTCCGCCCCTGCCTTATCTCCCCGGCGCCTCACATACATTGAATTTGACTTATTGAACTGAATATGAGTTTTTTATATTTCTTATTTGTGTGTCAGATCATTTTCAAGTTCGTATTGAGTTATTGCTATAAATCTCGATTTTTTATGACTTTTGTACAAACCATCAGACAAGATCTTATTAAACAATGACTTAAATCCCCGTTTGGTTGCCTAGAAAACTGTTGAGAATGGAAGAAACAAAAAAATGCCTACCACTTTCAAGCAAAGGGTGTGTGAGGAAGATAAA